CCTCAAGCATTTCGAACAGGCGTTTTTGCGTTCACGTGATTAACTTTATTGTTCAGATTTAACGAAGCCGTGTTTTTTACTAAGTTGTTGGTAACTGAACTCATCTGCATGATGCAAAAAGTCCATTACGTAACAATATCCAATCTGTCCATAAAATTTCCTACTTATTACTTTTTTCTCTTCTCAATTAATTCTCGCGTTAAGGAATGTTGCTCTTTCATCGCCAGCTTGTTTTTTCCTACAGTTTCACTAGCAGCAGACGATTAACATGTTTCGAACACATTAAGCTTCTTGCGCGCGGTTTCTTTGAACGAGAGCCTTTGTGCTAGCTGGAATGGACTTTCAATAAGGATTAAAAACGTGGCAGGGCTGGTGCCAAGTCTAGACGGAACTGGTAATTTTAACTTGTCATCCTGTGATGATAACATCGCGGCGGATGTGAAGACTGAAGTAGTTAAATTTGGATACGACGCGTCATTTTTTCTGAAATCTCAACTAACATGCACTTGAAAATATCCAAAATATAAATACGTTAGAATGTTGCGGTGAAAATGGGATTCATTGTTAAAAGTTTGAAATGGGGATGGAGATGTGTCGCTAGGCTTTCTTCATATTTTTGACTCATTTTTATCCTAGATGATTCCATTCGCATTCTCTTAACTGCTTTCAAATGTCTGCTGATAAGCTTGGCTTTTACTAAGACCCCAAACAAAAAAGTGTAGAGGAGCAAAATCTGGGGAACGCGCTGGCCAGGACACTGAATGAAGGTACCGTTCTGCAGTTAATGACATATTAAACCCAAAGCGTGCTTGATGTCTGGATACCTTTTTAGCTCGCAGATTTTCTTGATCCCGTCATTAGCGCTACGGCGATTAAATATAGCATTTTTAGTGACCCTACTCTCGTCAGACCATAGGCAAATCTAGATCTCCATCACAAAAATGCTGGCACCGTTCGCTATCCGCTCGTCCAAGTTCTTGGAAAATCCTGCATTTATAAGGGTGATATCTATTTTTTCACAAAGTAAATTGGGCTGTGAGCTTCATTGCTCCTACAGTTTTTCTCAATTTGCTTAGATGATATCTCAAAAAATCAGAAAAAACTTGTTTCTCCTTATGACCAAAAAAATAAACGTAACGGGATACATCGTTGAATTCGTATAAAAAAAGCTATTCAGACCACATGAGAAAATAAAGTTTCAACAACGAATCGTTGGGTATGAAATGTGAAAGTTCCTAAAAAGTGCAAATAAAAAAGTTTCATTAATATTTTGATATTTCGTAAAATTTCTTAAAATTTTGGACAAATTTCAGTTTTTTTCAAATATCTCAGTACAATCGAAGATCCTCTAGAAATAAACGCGCTCACACGTAGTTTCTCGTATTGGGCACCCAAACTCGCTGCTTGTCTTCTGAGTATGGAGACTCTAGCCCACTGATTCCCAAAGTGGTCTATATCGACCTCTAGGGGTCTATGACAACCTGCAAGGGGTCTACGTCAGCGTAAAAAAATTTGGGGGTCCATGAAATGAATATGGGGGTCCACGATAGTGGATCTCAACACATTCACTGATAGTACCTATTTACTTACATCATACTATCTTATAATATCAAAACATATACATTATTTATAAAAGTACCTATGAAGTAAAAAATTTATTATATATGTTTATAAAATTGTGTAAGTTGTAGGATGTTGGTATTCGCTTTGTGGTCGCAATACATTTTGAACTTGTAAAAACCTGAGAGTCGCAGTCTCAGAGCTTCGCTAACTTGCACTGACTTGTTCAATTCGTCACTCTATAAATACGAATGTGGGACAAATACGTTTATTCGTTTCCTGAATCTTGAAAAGGAAAGTGCTAAGAAAATATTTTAAAAAATATAAACAGATAGTATATCACACAATTATAGTGAGTCAGTGTTATTTTGTTTGAGAGTGCTGGAGAAAAGTAAGTACATTATTTTTTATTAAATTTTAGTTTTGCACTCGTAGTTAGCAAAGATAGATAAATTACGCCAATCATGACTTTAGTTATTAGTAGTTAAATATTTAATCATGCAAAATTACACGAGTACTCCTCAATAGTTTCTTTTTGAAAGCTTTAGCAATCGGTAATATAATTACAGTGCAATCTCCGTAATTCGAGCTAATTGTTGCAAGAAGATGTTCGAATTATGGAATGTTTTCGGAAAAATCAAAAAATATGTTCAATATACAGCTGCTGGATTTTCTGTCTTATTCAAATAATTTAATTTTGCCCACAGATGACTGAGGCCATGTCCCAATCTAAAAAGGAATGTAGACAGTACAGTGTTGGTTATTTGAAATTTGGTTTCATTCCATCATTGCCGGACAGACAATCGCCTATGTGCCTTTTATACAACAAAGTTTTGCAATAACGCTATGAAACCATCTAAACTGCAAGATCATCTGAGAAGATGACACCCTGATAAAACAGAGAAAGATTTGAAATACTTTCAAACACTCAAAGATAAATTTCAGAAGAGACCTACACTAGACAGAATGTTCGCTTCGACGTGACAAAGAAATGATGATGGTTTGCGGGCGTCTTACAATATCTCGTTACTCATAGCAAAATCCGGAAAACCGAATACTATCGGAGAGAAGTTAATTTTGCCAGCCGTTGAAGAGCTTTTAAAAACTGTTTTACACAAACCTGCATCTGATATCATTGAAAGAATTACCTTAAGCAACAATACTGTTGAAAGACGTATTGATGAAATGAGTTCTGATATTGAAAGCTTCTTACGTAATTATTTGCAAACGATCCATTTCTCTATACAACTGGACGAGTCAACTTTACCTGATAATGCAGCATTATTATTGGCATATGTTCGTTTTATTATGAATCAAGAAATCTACGAAGAACTGCTCTTCGCAAGAACTTTGATAACCGACACTAAAGGTGAATCAATATTTCATGTTTTGAAGGATTACTTCATTGAAAAAGCAATTCCTTTATCAAATATAATATCAGTAGCTACAGATGGAGCACCTGCCATGGTTGGACGTTGTCGCGGATTTATAAGCTATTTAAAACAAAATGTGTCAGGGGTGTTACCAATACATTGCGTCATCCATCGACAACATTTAGTTGCTAAAAATTTGAGTGTTAGATTGCATGATTTCACTTCATTTAGTCATTGATGCAGTAAACCGAATCCGAAGCAACGCGTTGAATACGCGGTTATTTGCGCAGTTGTGTGAAGAAAGTGACGAACACTTTCATCAATTACTCCTTCACACTGAAGTACGCTAGCTGTCGAAAGGCTTATGTTTGACAAGATTTTTTGCACTTTTTGAGACTATTTTAGAATTTCTGGATGCTAAAGATAAAATTTTAAAAGAAAATTTAATGAAGAGGAAAACAGACATCGCCTATTTAACAGATTTGTTTACAAAATTTAATATGATTAATTTGCAATTACAAGGCGACAGTTTAAATTTGATTAAAACAAAGTCCATCTTATCAGCGTTTCTCGCCAGAGTTAAACTAATGAAGCAAAATATTGGACGGGGCGAATTTTCTCAGTTCCCCAATTTGTCACAGACAAGCTGCCAGGAAGACGACGTTTCAACTTACGTTCAACATTTAAATGCCCTCTATTCAGATTTTGAATCTAGGTTTGAGGATATTTTGACTATGGTAATACCACCGTGGATAATTAATCCGTATGGTGACATAGAAGAAACGAATGTCATAATACAAGAGGAACTGACTGAACTAAGTACAAACGAAGAACTTAAGGTTCGGTTTAAAAACGGATATCAGCAATTCTGGCTGCAAAACAACATACCCGTTACTTATCCCGTATTATTGGATATAGCGAGGAAATTTTTAATTTCCTTTCCATCGTCGTACCTGGTGGAAAGGAGGTTCAGCGCTGTCACCAATCTCCTAACGAAAAAAAGAAACAGACTGGACATCATTAGCCGAGGAGATTTAAGATTAAACCTCACAAAATTGACGCCAAATGTTGATAATTTATTATTAAAGCATCCGGTTCATCCTTCTCACTAAAAATATTGACTTATTGCTTATGTTATTTTATTAATAGTATATTTTATGTTTATTGCTGTCTGACCAATAAATGCCCGCATTGGGAATAAGTGCCCGCATTGATTTTTTTAAAGAACCCCCCTTTATAGAAAATATTTTTTTTAAAATTATTCTGAAATTTCAAGGATATGTACACACTAAAATTCGTTAATTTTTTGCCTATTTTAAGATAACTTAAACGTATAAGAAGCGGAATTTAATCAAACTAACAGTGAAATTACTGTAGAACGTACGTTTATGTTATAATTAATAAACGAACTCGCTTATTGTACTATTTTAAGTAAATAACTTTTATTTTATTATTCTTCACTTTTTTTTTGTTTTATCCTTCTTATTTTTTTTTCAATGCGGGCACTTATTTCCAATGCGGGCACTTATTGGTCAGACGCCTGTTTATTTAATGTTACGTATATTTTACATAACAGGTACAAAATTTTTTTTTGAGTAGTTTTCATTTAAATTCGATTAATAAATGTATAAATTAAAATGTGTTTTTACTTTAAGGGTCATTATCACAAAATCCATACTATTCCACTAGCAGTTTAATTAAAAATATACTTGAGTAGAAGATTATGATTTTAATATTTTTATATTTGTAGTGTCAGTCATTACTTGAAAAACTATATTTCCGAGATCATTGAACTTATTTTCTTTCAAAATTGAGAGAAATTTGAAACATGTGTTCACGGTGGTGAGACATTAAAAACGGAGGTGATATCTGATTTTCACTGAGGTGAGATATCACTGAAGAAGGTAACAATTAATGATTAATGATTATATATATATATATATAGCAGCAAAAAAGTAAATATATTTATTTAGAAATGAATTTTGTACTCCATAAAACATAAAATCAAAAAATAAACGTGATGAGCACACCAAAGGAAATAAAAGCAATGATTACAATTATTAGGTATTAATACAGATTAGGGTAATCAAGGCTATCCAAAAAAATGTATCCATTGGTTTTCTCATTGAGCTCCGGGCAAACCAATGCAACTTGTATATCTGATATATCTATATCAGCAATGTCATCTCGTTCTGGAAATACAAATGTTTTCTTTCCAGATATTTTCCTTCCAGTTGCCTTCATGAATTTGACGTTATATTCACCGCTTCCTTCAACGCGAAGAATAACAGCAACGTAGTGTCGGATAATCTTCTTTCCAGTTAGTTTTACGAGAACATACATGCCTTCATTGAATGTTGTGGAAATTTTGTCTTTCAAAACTGAAAGTGGGATGGCGTCGGAACTATCACTGCCAGAAGGTGAATAAACATCTTCATAGTGTAATCGGTCACAGTTGCTCATGTGGAAATCTGGAAAACAAAGGGTAATAATATTGAAGCAGTTGAACAGATGTCTACTTTTTACCTGCAGTTGCTGGAAATTGTATTTTGCTCAAACCATAATGCTTGCACTCTTCATCTGCACTACAAGTGATACATGAAAGCCGTCTCATTTGTAAAATGTCTGGAGCATTTATAGTCCAGCATACTTCATGTACTTTCATTGTTCCTCGGAAGACTGGCAGATCATCTGGAACAACATTATCTATCTCTTCGATGTGCTTCGAATTCAAACTAAGGACTATCACTTTTGTCGAATTACTCAGCATTTCTACCAAACTTTGAAGATTAGGAATGTCTCTTCCCATAGCAACTAAACGATCATCTTCTCGTTTGATAACAGCACCCACCCCATCAGGTGCACCTTTGCCATGACCAGTTTCACTATAATGCCAATACAGATGATTCACAGCTAAGTGTCTTGCTAGAAAGTGCGTCATAAAAAAACATTTTTTTATTTTTGTACTGGGTGGATGGACCATCTGATAAGAAATGCACATTCTTTATCCTTGTAATAATTTTTTGAGTCTCGGTGATAGCCAACTGTAAGTGAGCGCAAACTGATTGAGGGTCATGTCGTAAGCTGTCTGATAGGGTACAAATAGAAAGCGGCATAGTATTAGACGTTACGGAATCCTTGTAGTATATAACTACAGTATGTAGCGTTATCTGTGCTTTGGAACCTCCAAAATGTGCTGATTGTACCTCTTCATTATATTTGCAGTTATAGTTCTCGGAGAAATCAGCATGTATTAAGATTTCGTCAGTTGACAGTTGTTGTTTTAATTTATCTATGGATCTATATTGATGAAATATATTTCTTAAATGAAGCAAGAATCCATTAAATCCTTGTTTTAGAATACGTACGATATCAGATTTTTTGCAAAATATTTTATCCTTAACTGTTTTTTTACATGTCTTTTTCTTCCCTTTTATTATCAGTACGTGTTTTTTGTTAACCACTTTTCGTAAAACGTTTCATCATCTGTATCATAATCTAAAACTTTTATTTCCTTGTGTTTGCATTTTGGACATGTTCTCTCAAGACATTGCTCGAGCAGATAACCGTTATGGCAGGTAAGTGATTTTACAAGATCCTCTGGTGATTTTTCGTTGATAATTTTCAAGTAATATAATTTAGAAACAATAAGATTCATATTTGTATGTAACAAGCACAAACATGTATTTCTTGCTGATACTTTAGGCTGCAGTACCCAAAATGGACGCATTCTACAAAATGTCGTGTATGAAATCGTCATCTCCGGATGAGCGCTTCTAAATTTAACGTAAAGGTTTTTCAAGGTGTCATTTAGGTATCTCTTTTGCATTTTGTGTTGTTTGAAAGTTATCGTATCTTTCTTTCCAGGACAAAGCCTACTATTCTCATCTTTCAGGAGAAATGCCCTTACAGATCTATTAACTTGCAAAACTGTTTGATGCATCATTTGCCTGTTTTTTCTGTTTCCATACAATATAGTGTTAGATGATAGCGATGAAATGAACTTCATGAATCTGTCCTTTTTTATGAGAGGCCCCGTGATATTATCAATGAACTTCCTTTTTTGTATAGAACCTCTCTTGCTCTTATAATTTTCTTTTAATTGTGCTGACATAACTTCACTGAAAAGTACTTTTTTTTTTGACTACTTGACTAACATTTAGTCCAGAAACTATTCTCTCTACATACGTACGGGGACTTGTCTTATTTTGAATTTTCTTCAAACGCTGTACTTGTTTCTTGTATTTTCCTGCTCTTCTTTCCGCCTCCTGTAATTTAATTTCAAGCTTTTTTATCGTTATATTCAGCTTTCTCCTGTTATTCCTTCGAAGTTTTTCGCCGCACGATACCCTACTTCTGGAACTTGAAGTAGATTGTTTCGAAGTACACGGTGTACGATCTTGATTATCAATTTCTGCAGGTATCTCTTGAACTGGTTGTCGACATGGAGATGATGGAGGAGTTTCTTCAGCTAAAAATCTGTTCAATTTTTCTTGTGTTTTCTTCCTTTCATAGCATCTTTTACTTCTGTCCTTCCATTTCCTTCGAATTGTCCTTTTTTCCCTTTCGCTCATATCAGCAATACCTTTTATTTTACCAGCAGCTTTTCTTGCATGGTATCTTTCCCTTTCCTTCTTTTTTGCCTCTTCATATCTAACTGGATCACTTTTAATCGCTTCTCGTAATTTCCTCATACTTTCCCTCACTATTTTCCGTTTTCCATCGGCGCTTTTAACCTTTGGTTTTACAGGAGCCATCGCAGTGAACAGTTCTGTAAATTAAAGCACAAATATCACCTCAGTTACTAAAACCTCACCTCCGTGAGCAGAAATAGTCACGGAGGTGAGGTTCATGGAGGTGAGAAATTATCAGATATCAAATCATATAAGAAAGTATTTTGAGGTTATGGAAACAACGCATGTCGCATGGAGATGTTACTTATTGTAAATATTTATAGATAACAGTTAAAAGAAATCAATTTCTTTTATCAAAAAAAAGTGTAAACGGAGGTGAAAGCTCATCTTGAACAAACAGATTATCTTACCTTCGAATTGTAAATTCACTAGATAATAACAACAGTCACCAGTAGTTTTGAGCAGACTTGATAAAAAATGGCTGCTAACTCATAGTTTGAGATGCACACACTAGGTGGTGCCGAAATTGAAGGAATTATTATGTTTTCTATAATCACTAACGGAGGTGAGAAAACTATGCGGAGACAATACTTTGACGTAAAATGTAACCTTCCAGGTGATATAAATATAATGTTTTTGATATAGTCCTACTACAACGTCATACGGTGATTCGGTACTGACCGTAGAATTGATTTATCGTTGATAGTTTTTCTATATCAGACGAAAGTATATTTAAATATGGCTCAAGGGACAGTTCACGGAGGTGAGATCTCACCCCTTGTGAATGTAAGAAAAAGGAGAAAAAAAAATAAAGAGTCAAGTGACGATAACCTGCTAATGTTCAGTTTACTTAACTATAGTCTTTTCTAGCTGTCTACGCTTGCTAGTTTGAAATATAATTTAATTATCCATTAGAGACACGAGTATTCGTCTTCCGTTGAGAATGACCCTTAAGTTTTTAACACTAAACTTCACTACAGCTAGAAATTTACAGGAAATCAATATCAGGTAAGTAGGGGGTTTGGGGAACTCTGCTCTAGCCTAAGCAACTTCAAGAAACGGTTAAGATGACCTTAAAGCAATCGGATGAATAGAATTTAACTTTCCGCATCTCTACAGGTAATCGATTGTTTATTTCCTCGGAGAAGTATCATATTTGGTGCCATTTCAGTTTAGATACTTTTTTCTTTATAGTTGCTTACCATTTGTGTTTATGTCTTTAGGTCTGGTTGAAAAACAACTCCACCTTTTGGTCACTATCTTGTTTTCTTCCTAATAAGTCTATTATTTAGAAAAGCTGTGTCGAATAAAGGCCGTGTGTTATTATTCTTCCAGGAGGAAATAATTTGTGACGAAGATGACCGGATAACTAAGTGACGCCATTTCTTAGATCAATATCACCAAGTCCTCTTGCTAGAACGTCCTATCGAAGTGGTTCAAAACTCTCTTACTCATGCTGGTGGTAAAGAACCCAGCCGCAACGCTGCAGCAGCTTCCAAAGGATTAATCATCTTGGCTGGTACAAAAAGCGGACGAAGAAAAACAGATAATCGAAAAATGTCCCGCCTTATCTGAGTAGGAGCAGACAGGTCGCATCTGAGATCACGTAAATGCATTAACGTGCACAGAAGTTGCGCCGGAGTCTACTGCAAAAACTCGACGGATAGGGAAAGCGCCCGAGGAAAGGAAAATTGGACTTGATGAGCAGGGCCGGAGTTGGTTGAGAAAAGTTACTATAAGTTGATATGTTCAGTATTTATTGCGTGACGGCTGCCACAATGTCTTTGAGTGGTTTCTTAGTTTTTCACAATACACGGTGATCCACAATTATTCCCGGAATGACAAGATATTCGGACATTTTTCGTGAGTATGGTAAAAGTAAAATAACCGTCGCCCAGGATTTTCCGCTCACTATTCAGTGATGGTCTTGAAGCCGGTCTTTGACATAAGCTTGGAAGTTAAATCGAGGTAAAGACATTTTTTCATTGGGACCATATACTCTTGACTGCAGAAGCGGATATAACTGAAAATTTCATGTTTAGATATGAATGAGCGAAAATTATTTTAACGTTGATCGTTCCAGTTCAAGGTCATGCTAAGTAAAGGTTTCCATTCCCTCCATTTTCGGAATCAAATGTATATGCTAGGTACTATATATATATATATCTCGGCGCTTCAGGCTGGCCTAACGCCCAAGCCTCACTGCCGTAAAGTATTGATGGTTGAATAACGGATTTATACAGGGTGGCGCATCGAAAACGAAACAGACGCATTCACTAGCAGCTCAGTTTTTTTTTCGAAAAACGCTCAGACCCGTCGATTTTGTTTTCGAGGGGGACACAAGTTTGGCAAAAAATCACGTTAACACGTGCAGCCCCCTGTGGGGGGGGGTTACACCAACCCTAAAATCTTAAATGGAGGGGGTGTCGAGTGATACCTTATTTTAAAGGTTTTTCAATTCCTTTATAATGATGTAAAACACATGAGCTTCAGTTCAGTAGTTTTGAAGATTTATTGATTTAAAGCTTAAAGTAGACTTTAATAATATAATATATAATAATAGAACAGCAGAAATATTTAATGAGCGACATTAGAACAGTAACGTGCATCGAGAATATGTTCAAGAACTTGTAGCTAAATTTCTGGAAACGATGAACGTTTTCAATTCAACACTTGCTTTCCCGACGAATGTTCCTTTTTTTCTGAAATGGCGTAGTAAATCCTAGAATTTATCATGAGGTTCATACACAGCAGCCACAAAAATTAAATGTTTGGGGTGGTATTTTTGGGGATCATTTAGTTGGTCCTTTTTTCTTACCTGGAAATTTGACCGGTGAAATGTATTTGGAATTACTGGAAGACGCCATAGATCCTGCATTAACAGCCATAATTGAAAATCAGAATGATCGGCGGTACATTGCGAATAGGTTGTTGATGTTCCAACAGGATGGTCCCCCACCACATTACGTATTACGTGTTCGACAATATTTAGATCAGACATTTCGATGGATTGGTAGAAGAGGTGCCATTGAAAGGCCCCCAAGATCGCCAGATTTATCACCTTTGGATTTCTTTATGTGGGGTCATTTAAAAAGCAAAATCTATGCTACTCAGCCAACATCATTAGAAGGCTTGCGACAAAGAATTGTGAATGAGTGCCTTCAAATTACTCCTCAAATATTGTAAAATGTACGGCAATGTTTTGAGCAAAATCTTTACTATTGCAATGAGAGTCATGGTGGCCATTTTTAACATTTACTTGCCTAACGGGTCAGTTCATTCTTCATTTTTAAATTACTTAGCAAAGTAGGCAGCAGCCTAATGTAATGATCTCCACTAATGATGATGCATTAGTTTTATATCATTATAAAGCGAATTGAAAGACCTTTAAAATAAGGTGTCACCCGACCCCCTTTCCATTTAAGATTTTGGGGGTGGTGTTATCCCCGCTTAGGGGGCTGCACGTGCTAACGCGATTTTTTGCAAAGCTTGTGTCCCCCTCGAAACCAAAACCGACGGGTCTGAGCGTTTTTCAAAAAAAAAACTGAGCTGCCAGTAAATGCGACTGTTTCGTTTTCGATGCGCCACCCTGTATATTATTTCCTTTATTTTCCTTGCTATCCACCGTGAGTTTATCATCTTGCTTAAAGCCGCCATTGCTTTACTTCCTTTTGCTATTTTTTTTTCAGTTTCTAAGTCTTTTGCTTTATTTGTTATTATGACCCCTAGATATTCAAAATTTCGACGCTTCCTCTCATTCATAGGTATTTTGTTTTGTCTTGATTTGTATGAAGCCTGGCAGTTTCTTTTAACTCTCTAATCGTCTTTTCAGTTTCTGCTTTGGATCTCGTCATTATTGCTATATCATCGGCATAAGCAATCGACTGATGTTTTTTATAGTAAACAACCACAATCACGTACAGGGAATTCCAAAGTGGCAATTTCACTCTGGGTGACGCTGACAGCGAACGTTAGTAACAGAGGAAAAAATTACTGCAGTGAGGAAAATGCCTCACGACGACCGGAAAGTGACATACTAACGGATGGAGGAGACCTTACACCTTCACGCATCAGCAATTCGTTCAATTCTGCATGATCATTTACACGTAAGGAAACTTTCTTCTCTCTGGGTACCGCATAGTCTGACGGAAGAGCAGAAGACTCATCGTACGACTTGGTGCCGAAAGTTGCTGGAAATGTTTGATAAGAGGCAATCTCGGTATGTGAACAGCATCGTAACGGATGACGAGACTTGACTCAATTATTCCGATGTGCCGACCAGGGCTCAAAACAAAGTTTGGTTCTTTGATGATGAAGACACACCTGTATCTGTCACAAAATCCTGATCTGTTAAGGAAAACATGATAACTGTATTTTTCAAGTTGAGCGGGATCGTGAAGCGTGTCGTTTTGGACATACAGCTAGGTGGTACACGGAACAGTGCCTGCCTAAAGTTATGCAGTCCATGCAAAACCTGCGGCCACAGTCAAAAATAGATACTTACAGTATATTCAGATAAGAGATAGATCGGATGTAAACAAAAGGTTCGGGTGATTTTCACGCTAACGCCGCCGTCTCGACGTAAAACAGGAGCCCTCATTGGTCAATTCGCATTTAAATGCCTATGCCGAGCGGCAGAGCAGTCGTATCAAGGCAGTCACATTCAGGTTCAGACGTGTTACGTATGTCGTGTGCATCATTGCAATTTGATATTTCTTTGGACGTTTTCGTTTGTTATCTTATTAAGGTGTTGAGTTTGTCGTTGTTATTGTTATACCTTGTTATTGATTGTTATTGTTATCAACTGCTTGCGCAAAATGCCCTGTAGTACAGATACTGCCGATGAAGTTGTAAACTCCTGTAGTCCACCTAGGAAACGCTCTAAAAAAAGACACCTGAGTGCAGAAATGAAAGAGGTCATTTTGAATATATATAAGATCGAGCGCGAGGAGAACGAGGCATCAACCATCAAAGAAATTGTTGTGAAGGTTTCTCACAAAGTTGGGGTGTGTCGCGTATCAGTGTTTAATGTGTTAAGACAATACAAAAAAGTCACACCTTTTCTGAGCCAATGACCAGTAAACATCGCAAAAGTATTGTTAAATCATTGGATGAAGCTGATAAGCAGGCGATTAGGAGGAAAGTGCATGAATTCTTCTTTAGGAATGAAATACCTACTATAGATAAAGTACTGCAGGAGGTAAATGGAGATACAACGT